GGAAGGGGTGTTGCAACAGGGCATGCCCATCCAGGAAGGAGTCCTGAGAAAGACTGTTGTGGGGGGCAGAGCGTGGGTAAGAACTGAACACACTACCACACTGGGGAGGGGTAATTTGAGAAATTGTCCATCACCAGGGGAAAGCGACTTCCAGACCAGTAGCACAATGGAGGGGAGGTAATGGAAGCACCAACCCTGGGTGCTGATTTGCAGGCAGGTGGAAAAACAAGAGCTACTGCTGCGCCAGTCCGGCTGCCACTACTGGTGTCAGCAGCCCAGCTGCAGCTGCTGGCCTGTGTCCTGCCACCACGTAGTGCACATAACTGCTCAGTTACACCTCTGTTATAAACTCCAAAAAGAGTTTTGTTGGAAAGTCGAAGACCTTTAGTATGGCCTTTACACATGTGGGCATCTGAGTGCCTCCCAGAAGTGTTTTAAGTGACTGGCATCCTTCACATGCAGTGATCCGCAGTGCTTTTCCCCTCGGCATAACTCAGATAGAATTATGTGGCAGAATGAGTGAGCACTGGAGACACAGTGGAGGAGAAAGCTGTTGGTCTGATTACATGAGTCCATAGGTTCCTCTGGGTGTTTTGTTAGTGGAGTCAGTGGTGCATTCTTAAATTGTGAACTCAAAAATACAGACTCCATGTGCAAGGCTTAGGTTTTAATAGGCAAAGTTTGTGAAATGGAGCCTCCATAACTGAAATGAAATGGTGATGCTGTCTGAAATAGTATAATTGTGTCCTGTGTTATTGCAACACATCATTTGGGTATCTAAAAATGTGATATATGTTGGTGCTTAAACCAGTTAACTTTTAGTCAATGAAGGCTTTAAAAATGTAATGCCACACACTTTACCTTTGTAGAACAACAGTGACACCTTGTGGTATATTAAGTAAGTACCTGTACATGCCATATTCTCCACATCTATTGGATATTGATTGCTTTGTGAAAATAATGGTCTCTACTTTTGTATTCCTGATAATTTGTAGATTCAGTAGTGTGGTGATAATTCCTTAGAGTATTCTTTGATATTTTCTTGACAGTGGACAAGTGAAATAACATATATATATATATCAGATTTTACAGATGATTTGAAGGTGCTAATGCTAAATTGAACAAGATTCCCATCTGCTCGGCGGCTCACAGGAAACTGGGTAGCTAAACTTTGTAGAATCATAGACTTGCAAGATATGGAAGTGGCAAACCTTTTTGTAATGCTCATTTTACAGACCTGCGTAGTATATATATTCTTCAAAATAAACATAAGCGTTAAGATGTAGCATGGGCATGGAAGAGGATGGTTCCTGGAATAAGCATATGTTGAATTGTTTCTAAGATGAAAACACAGGTAAACAGATGATGGGATGGGATGGAAAAGGGAGGTTGCCTAAGAAATTATGTATTTTTGGAAGGCCAGAGGGAAGTGATCAGAGCAACTTGGGACCCCTCCTAGAAGAGATATAAGCATGGACCTGGTAATGACCAGACAGTTTATCTTGTGGCCAGGATTGGGCAACTGGTGACTACTGGGTGCACCTACACAAGACAGGTTACTGTGCAGTATCCTAGTTTACTGTGCAGTAAGCTCACACATCTACATGTGCATGCATTTACTCCACAGTAAAAACCCTTAATTGTGATTAAATTTCCTACCTGCATTTGCAGGTAGCAAATTGAATTGCAGTTAGTTAACGCACAGTAACCCAAGTGTAGACACGACCTGGGAGCAAGTTTGCTTGCAGGTCTACCCAGCCACTAGGGAGCCAGCCTGAGGCCAGCGTCAGGGCTGCAGGCAAGGTGTCTCTCCTTCCTGCCTGCAACTAGTGCCTCCTGAGTCAGGGGGGCACTCGCCCCCCCAGGAGACAGTCAGTGACTGGGGGTTTCCCCCATGGCCAATCCTGCCAACCGGGGCAGGGTCCCTCTGTGGCCGATCCTGCTGACCTGCAAGTGGTAGGAGCACACCGCTGACACTTCCAGCTGCAGGGGGACCACTTTCTCTGGTGCCCCACTCACTAGCTGGCACTCTCAGGGGGGGCACCAGCGCCCTCACCTTCCCCCCTGCCCAGGAATGCTGGCTGACAGAGGGTGCACCAGCACTCTCAGGGGGTACACATGCACCCCCCTGCACTACCACTGTCTCTTGCTCCAGAGCTGGGCTGGGCTGGGCTGCCCCTATGGCCTCTTTTATAGCTTGCAAACAGTTTGTGCCCTGGGGTACACAACACACACACCCTGAAGAAACTGCAGGCCTTGTGTATCCCCCTGGGCAGGCCACAGCCCTGCTATGTATGCCTGCCAGTACCCCAGCAGTGCTTCCTGGCACTGCCCTGCCTTGCGGTTGCCAGGACAGTGCCATCAGGCCCACCTGCATGCTGAAGGGTGCTGCATCCCTTGCCCAACTCTGTCAGCCCCTCAGGGCCGCCTGCAGGCAGCTTTTGGCTGCAGTGCCAGCACCACCTGCCAGCAGCACACCTCTGCAGCCTAACCTGTGTCTGCAGATGCTGTGGGGCCTTTCCCATACAGCTGACCATCCCATGATGCGCCCTTGTGCTGGGTGCTGCTGGCAGCTGTTGCCTTGTTCCACCTAGCTCCACAGCTGCAGCCTCTATCAGCAGCTTGGGGAGCCCTGGCCAGCACCTTCCTTACCAGCTGTGCAGCCCCAGGGCCAGCCATGAGGAATGGCTGGCCATGGCACCGTCAGCTGCCAGAAGCACCAGCTTCTTCCTTGGGGAAGCCCCCAGCCCCCAACCTGCAAACCATGCCCCATGGGCTGAGGACATGGGGTGCAGCTACACACCTTCACCAGCTGGGAGGACTGCACTGAGCCACCAACTACACCAGGCCTGGATACATGGTAAGCTGTGCACTGCAGGGAGGGCCCTCCCTGGACCTGACCCATGCATCTCCTCCTTTCCTGGCCCACCTGCACTCCCCTGGCCCCCAGTTCCCCTGCATAGCACACAGAGAGGTGGGACACAGTACAAAATTTTATTGAGCAGCTTGTGCCCCTGCAGCTGGGTGGGCACAGGCCTGTCATACCCTGAGGAATGTGTTGATGCTGGTGACAATGTCCTCCTCAGCAATGGGGGGCAGGGACATTTAATGCTGCCACAGGTAGTCCTCTAGGCAGCAGTGAAGATTGTGGGGCACCATGGGTTTGTCCCCTGCACTGTTGAAGCTCAGGTTTTCAAACCAGGAGTGCGGGTGTGCCCGGGGCACCATGAGGATCGTCATCAGCAGGGCATAGTGGGCCCACACAAACACCACATTGTGCACTGCCTGGGATACACGCAACAGGGGCATGCTTGGGGTGCAGTGGCAGTGCAGTAGAGAACTGGCTCTGGGGCACCTCCCCAGAGAAGCTCTCTGTGGGGAGGGCAGGAGTGGGCCAGCTCCTTACCCCAGTTGTCTGGGAGAACTGCATGCCCCGAGCCTGGGTGGTGTAGGCTGGGCAGCATAGCAGAGTGGCTGGCCTGCAGGGGGAGAGGTGAGAGCGGGGTCTGGAACCACAGCAGCAGGTGCTATCAGCAGCCTGGCTTGTCCTGCCCTGGGAAGGGGGCAAGGGAGGCAGGCTGCCTGCAGCCAGCACCTAGCAGCCCACCAGCCCCAGGGGAGCATGCAGGGACAGGAGGCTTGGCTGGTGGCCACCTGGGTCTAGGCCTACCCAGCCCAGTTTATCATGGTTCCTTGGCACATGTGCATGGCTGACCCCTGGTCTGAGGCTAGGCAGCACATGGCCCCTGGTGCAGAGAATCTTATCTCTGAAATGTTGCAAATGCTCACAAAAGAATTCTGTCTCATGGCTCTGCAGGTCCAACATCTGGACATGGGGGAGAGGTCCCCATGGCCAGTGGAGATGCTGCCTCAGGGTCACTATTGTCCACTGCTGGAGCTCTCCAGATGCACCAGCTGCACCAGAGGTACATCATGGACTGCACCCTCCTCCTCCAGTGGCTGGTGGCCATCTTGGAGGAGTAGAAGGAGGACACATGGGCCTGGAGGACATTACCTGTGTGGATGCATGGGACCACATGGACTGGAAGTTCTAAGCTGAGCTTCTGGCCTTGGAGTACAAGCAGCTTCAGGTCCTGCAGGAGCAAAACACTATCCTGCAGGACCTGGTGGTCATGTTCATGCTGCCTGCTACCTGGCTCCTGTCCCTAGCCCTGCAGGCCCCCTGGCAGCTGCCCACCACCCTGCAGCAGGCCCCGCCTGGGCCTGGGAGGAGGTCCTCCACCACCTTTAACCAGCAGAATCCACTGCCACTACCCAGCCCCCTGGCCTAGGCCCACTGCTCATCTTAGTTCCACATGGGCACAGAAGCGGCCACAGAAAGCCCCTGGCAGAGGAGGAGCTGCCTGCACCAGAGGACCAGAGGCTGCCATCACCCTGAGGCGAGCCCCCTGCATGCGCCACATCATCTGCACCAGTGGGGGAATGGCCAGAGACCAGGGTCCTAGCTGCCTGCCCCCAGGCTCTGCCCCCTGGGTGCCTCCACCCCATAGTCCCCCACTCCAGGACACCAAAATAACCCACTTTGTAAATAGTTTGCACAGGGAAGAGGATTTTTTATTGTTGGTGGGTGAGGTGGGTGTTGGAGGGGTTCTGTTTGCAGAAGAGGGAGAGGAAAGGGGCTCTGTGTGTTGAGGGGGGTGGAGGGGTGTGATGTGTGGGGAATAAAGACTTGTATAGATACATGTCTACAATGAGAGTGGTGCTGGGGGTGGGCATGGGGAAAGGGGTCTGTGTGCAGTGGGGCCAAAAGCACACTTGACCAGGGTATGGGTCCAGCCCAGGCACCATTAAAGTGGGCCTGGTGGGGGTCTGGGTGGCTGGTAGGGCCACATCAGCCAGGGCAGAAGCAGGCAGGCAGGGTCCCTGATGAACAGGGGCAGGGCCATGATGGTGCCCAGCTGTAGATCTGGCACCCCCAGTGCAAAGTGCCCACTCTCCACCAGTCCCACTAGGCCAGAGTTCCAAAACATGTGGGCATCATGGGTGCTGCCCACCTAGCCGGCACTCATGTAGGTGAATGTGCCCTGGTGCCCATGGAGTGAAATCCCCTGCAGTTGTAATAGGGTCAGTCTTTGTGGGGCAGGCAGGTGACTGGGATGTGGATCCCATCCAGGCCCCCCATGCACTGGGGGAATCCCAGTGCATGGAATCCTGCCACGACTGCCAGGGGGCCATGAACACGGAGCACGGTGTGCCCCAGCATACCCTGGAGGGCCCCACACACCTCCAGGACTGCCTCCCTGGCAGTGGTCTTGTCCATGCCGAGCAGGTGTCTGACATACTGGAGGCTGGTGGGCATGGCCAGCTTCAGCAACACAAAGGCCAGCTGAGTGTTGGCAGGGAGGGCCAGGTGCATGCCAGTGTCCTGCTACTTCAGATGGGTCTGGAGCTGCTGAAGCAGGTCCCAGAAGGTGGCCTGGGTTATACGCAAGCTGTCCTGCCACTGCTCATCATCCCAGGTCTTCTGGATGACATGCAGCCACCAGTGCTGGCTGGCCTAGAGGGTCCAGAGGTGGCAGGGCTGGAGGCCTGGGAAGGCGATGGCAGCCCTGGTGGTGGCATCATGGGGCCCCTTGTTGACATCCCTGGCGGTAGCCCTGGGATGGCATACTTCAGGTGGGCAGGCAGTTGCTGGTCTTGGGGAGCCAGGCAGGGCAAGATGGCTGTGGGCCAGGCGGCAGTTGGCATGGCGGGCCAGCAGGGCAATGGTGGCCAGCAGGATTGCCAGGCACTGGTTGTCGCTGCTAGGGCCAGGGGCTGGAGTAGCTATAGTGTAGGGAGGCAGAGTGGCCACAGAGAGAGCTGCCATGTGCTGCCTCTGTTCTTGGCACATTGCTCCTGGGCAAGAAAGAGGCTGGCTAGAGAGGGGAGAGCACAGTTGGCTGTAAAGATGGCTGCTGGGTGCTGGCAGCTTCAGCTAGAGCCTAGAGTTCCCCCTGGTGGCTGCAGGGGCCGATTGCAGGGCATCAGGGATTTGGGAGCAAATCTGATCCCTGCATGTGTAGACACCTACCCAAGAACCCTCACTTTGGCTTATCTTACTGCGCAGTAAGTCTAGGCTGGAATAAATGCATGTGAAGATATGCCCACTGTGTCCTGCTCTATCTGCTGAACTATTACATATCTGCAATTAAAAGTAATGACCTGTGGTCCTAATGCTGTCTTAAATCAAGCCATAAATAAGCTTGCAAATTAGGTGTGAGCAGTGTCCTTCACTGAACAAGGCAGACAAGGTTCTTTGGGTAAATAAGATGTCTTTTATTAGACCAACTAAATAGTTGGAAAAAATGTTCTTTACAAGCTTTCAGGCACAAACTTCTCCTATGCCTGAAAAGGGGTGTTTGTGCCTGAAAGTTTGTAAAGAACAATTTTTCCAACTACTTGTTGATCTAATAAAAGGTATCACATTTACCCAAAGAAACTTTTCTGTCTGTGTCCTTAGACCAACACGGCTATAACCAACAGCACTTTCACTGAACAAGTTTCATATAAGTCATTTTTATTTCAGCTTATTAATGATAGCTTGGCTTTTGATAACTTAAGAGCTTTAATAACATTTACAATCTAAGTTGATACTGAATCACATTTCCCCCCTAAGCTATATAGGTTCAGAATCTTTGAGCTCCTGGCATGGATATAACTGGCCAATTTAAAAGCTTGTCTAGTTTCCCCTAATAAATCTGTGGTTTTCTCACCTGTCTTTAACATCCTAAGGTTTTTTTCATTTTTATTTGCAGCATTTTGAAATGAGTGATCATGTGGAAGAAAACTGTACTGAGAAAAACACTTCTACCCAGGAGGCACCTGCAAAAGCAACTGCTACTGCTGCCAAGGATTATCCAATAACACAGAAGCAGCTGGTATGACTGTTTTACCAATCAGGGTGCTTGTGACTGTTGCAGATTTTTTGTACAGAGAAAAAACTGGGGCAAATGTGTGTCAGTAACAGAAAACAGTAAATGAGGGACAATGCAGTCAGTTAAATGTAGATAGCAAATAGAGGATTTGTGGCCCTTCAGAGTCTTAGCTAGGGAGGAAGAAGATAATTAGGACAGTCCTCTTGATAGGAAGATACCATTGTAATTATTTCTACCCTAAGCTTTACCAAATGTCCCTTGTGTTTAACATCTTAGCCCCCCCCGCCCCCCCCAGTGAGGGTACTTGCTGAAGACCACTCTAGGCTTGTCTGGTCTCTGAGGCTAGGGACAGACATTGCACATAAACCGGTTGACGTGATCAGAAACTGGTTTAAATCCGGAACAGAACAGATGTTCAGTGCACATAAACCAGTTTGAGAATGGCTGAAACCAGTTTGAGATAAACCTGGTTGAATGTAGTATCAGACTTAACTGTTCTGACTCAAACTGGTTTATGCAGTGTCTGTCCCAGACCCCTTCCTGGTTTAAGATAAACTAGACACCCCCAGCATCTCGGCATGCTCTCTGGGCTGGGTGGGGTCTCTGCTCCACAGCATGTCTGGCCCCTCCCCTCTGCTTCCTGGCTGCAGCTCCAGAGACTGCAGGCTGCTTCCTCCCTCCCCTCACCACTCCCTGCTAAGCAGGAATTCCCCCCTCCCCTCTGCCTTATGGAGAGGTGTCTGTGTATTAGCTAGCAGGCCACCTGCTGGCTACAGTCCAGTGGGTGCTGAATCAACAGGCAGAATCAACATGTAGCTGGTAACTCCCCTCTGTTGTTTTCTTAATTGGGTGATAAACACTTATCTGTTCCCTGCTGGGCTAATCACAGCATCCTGCCAGAGCCTGGCCACACCCCTCTCAGCCACTACAGGCATGGGCCTGCATTTCTGGGATGTCTGTCCAGTTACAAAACTGATTTAGCCTAGCCAGGTTAGATTAGCCTGCAAAGACTGAATTAATTCAGGCTCAAGATTTTTGAATGTCTGTCCCTAGCCTGAGAGTTCCCCCTGAAGCCAACCTGGTCTTTTGGTCCACAGTCCTCCCTGGTTATTCCACAGCCCTGACTCAAAGATCTCGCTTCCAATTCAGTTCCTGGAGGGACATGACTTTATTTCCTGGGGGGACATGACTGGTTGAGAAGAACTAGTGCAACACAAAGTTCCAAGCAGCCAAAATAACAGTCCTTGTCAATAAAAACATTTGCTGGGGCAAAAACTACATAGCAAGAAGGTCTTGCTCCCTCCAAAGGGTTAAGCAGTTTCTGTGTTCCCAGTCCAGCTCATGCAGCCCTGAGGAGCCCAAAGCTATTCAGCTGTTCACATTCAGTCATGCAGCTCCAGAGTCCGAAACTACTCTGCTAGTCTCTATCTTCAGGCCTTCAGTCAACACGCTGCTTGTCCATCCCTACTGCATCCACTGTCATGTTTATTTCTCTCTTTCCCCTGGGTGCCTCCAGGGTGTTAGCTGCAATCCCCAGCTTTGCTGAAGTGTCAACAAAACTATTCAGATCTCTGTAGGTGGATGTGTCTTCTGTCAATAGGCCAAAGACTCTGGCTTTGCTGTATCTATAGTGCATTTTTTCCCAAAGTTAGCTAGGGGAAACTGAGACACACAACACTACAGCACAAACATAGTTAACACAGAAATTTTACAATAAACTCCAGACTCAATTACAGTCACATTTTATGTTCACATTGCACCTGCATTGCACAGGTGTAAACGATAGCAAAGACCTAGGAGAATAAGGTGTCTGCTTCTTAAGCCCAGAATCTATTCAGCAGTTTCAATCCATTGTAAATTCTAACAGTAGTATAAGAGAATCTCTCTCCCTCCTGCTGAAATTCTGTCTCTATCTTCCTGAATATATTTACTTGGGCTCCTCCACTCTTCTTTATGCTTTTCTTCATGCTCTTCAATACTGTGACTGCTTTTTTCTGCATTCATGATTCTTCTGTACCTTTTTCTTGACCCCAGTTTCTTCTTGATAGGCCATGGGGAGCTGAGAGAACAGAGGCAGATAAGAGTTTAGAAGGACTGATCCAGTTGAGATTAGTGTAAATACAGTATTTTCTTTCGTGTTAGTTGACTGGATCAACTCCACGATTGGTGATTGGCTCTTTGTTTTATTTTTAATGTTAAAAAATATTTCTGCTAATGAGCAAAAAAAACTGCAAGTTGAAGAATGTAAAATTGAAGTCTTTGGGAAGAGATGAGGAGACTTTGGAGAAGAGCCAGGGGAATAGAGATGAAGGCTTGGACAAATCAGAAAAACTAGCTCAACACAGAGGAAAGCTAGTGGGTAGTTGGTAGGCATTGTGCAACACAGGGAAAGAGCTGAAAGGCCTCAGGCAACATGGAGCTTGAAAGGATGTATTACCAGAAGGCAGAAAGTCAAATAATCTTTCAGCAGTTCTGGTCTGTTAGAACTTCTCTTTTGAAACTCCTGATTCGGAGGAAAACTGGAATTGAAACAGCACTGCACCATGAAAATATTTCAGAAAATGCAATGCCTCAGTCAGCTGCCATTTATAATGTGTCCCTAGCTTAGACAGCTGCTGGCAGACATTAAACCCCCCCGCAAAAGGCTGCACTTTACCAGAAGAAGCAGTGCATTACTTCAACCCAGTTCTGCAGCATCTGTATAGATCGGGAGCTTCAGCAGGGCTTTTTGCTGTTTTAGCTAAAGCTGATTCAATCAGCTACTAGATAAAAGCACCAAAAAATCCCCACTAAAGCGCCTGATCTATACAGATGTCAGGAGAGCCAGGTACAACTAAGGTGCTGCCTCCTCTGGGCATGCACGGGGCTCAGCACAGGAATGAGCTGAGTTTAAAGTAAAGCACCATTTTTTTTTACATGTCTGCAAGCATCCTCACAAGTCCTAAGCTCATTGGTGATGTGTAGGGGTGCATGCGGGTGCACATGCACCCCCTGCAAAAAGTGCTGCCAACACTGCCTGCAGGTGGTCGCTGTTTGCTATCCTGCCTCCCCCGCTTCTGGTACTGCTGGCGGCATCTGTGGGTGGTCCCTGATCACCTCTGGCCACTGCTGATGCTGCCGGCAGCAAAGGTCTGACACCGTTTACAGGCAAAGCATGCATGATACATCTACAAGAAGAAATCTACTGTGGTTAGGAGATGCCAGTTGTCTCAGCCATGCTCACATATTTAACACCTGTTTCTTATCTCCTTTCTCTGCTTTTGCATTTGCCCAGAGTTGGAGATTGTTGGCCATGCCCTTCTCTATTAGCTTGCAGTTTTGGCCTAGGGAATAATTGGTTACAAAATTAATTCCTGAATGGTATATTTTTAAGTAACATAGGCTAGATTTTTGTCTTATACCCTAATTCTTGTGGCCTTTAAAATTGTGAAGAATACTAGTTGTAATAATAATTATAAGATAGTAAAGGTCTGTGTCAGTTTATAATCCTTTCTTTCTTTGTTCATAGCAGCAAATAGAGAGGCAGCTGAAATGCTTAGCATTTCAAAACCCAGGACCTCAAGTAGCTGACTTCAACCCTGAAACTAGAGAACAGAAAAAGAAAGCCCGTATGTCAAAACTGAACCAAGAATTTTTTTATAAACACAAGTAAGATGATACCTTTGATGTGTTATGTTTGCTTGTTTTTATTAAATTGCTCTTCTATTGTTTGCTGAATATTCCCACAATGCAAAAATGAATTAATATTTTTCCATAGTCTTATGTGTAAAGTTTTCAAAGGTAAATGTTTACCTGAGAAAACTTTGTGTTCACTTTCTTTGTGTAGTGTAACAGAAGTTTGACTTATTCCTCTGGCACACACACATCTTAATTATATTGTCCATTACTGTCAGAAACTAATGCTGGTATCTCACTGTGCTGAAAGGGTGTCAGAAGGAAATATTTGTTCCTGTGTAGATTTTTCAATGTTAGTTTGCTTCTATTACTGAACAGGTTAAAATGTTCTCTGAGAATCACTTTTTTCTCTTACAGGACTATGAAGAAGTATGACAAACATGGTAGGCTTCTCTGTAATAATATGGATTTGTGTGACTGCCTGGAGAAGAACTGTCTGGGTTGCTTTTATCCATGCCCTAAATGCAATTCCAACAAATGTGGACCCGAGTGTCGCTGTAATAGAAAATGGGTTTATGACAGAATTGAGACTGAAGCCGGTGATGTGATCAGCATGTTACCATTTTTTGTCCCTGACTGATGTTTTTGTGTTGGGTTTGTAATATTTTGTAGCAATGTTTGGGGGCTTTTTCCCTTTCTTCCTTTCATTTGTAAATGTTTATTAAAGTGTTGTTTGGTTTTATAAAGGGGGGGGAATTGATTCTGCTGATGTTCCTGTTAGTGGCACTCCTGGTTCTTCACACTGCCCTGCTAGCATGCTTGAATCCTTGCCATTAGGAATGAGTAGGTATTTCATTTCCCCTAATCCTTGCCAACTTTGCTGAAGCAGCTAGCAAGGTCTTTCTAAATCTTTACTTTTTTAAAATGAAAGGTGTCAGGAGTGCCATGGGCAAGCAGTTTTCTTATTCTGGAAGGCTGGCTCATATTACTTTGATTCAACTTACCCTCAATCGTTTCTTTGCGCACATATATGCAGGTATTGGGCACATCCATTCTTCTTCTACCCACTCTATACTTGAGATAAGACACTTTTTAAGTGGAACCGTCCATTGGGACTGTAGTTTTGTGTATTATGCCTTCTAGTGTCCTTTAAACACTTAGCTGGGACTATTTGGATAGGGATGATCCTGCCTGGAGCAGTGGGTTGGACTAGATCAGTGTTTCTCAACCCATGGGTTGTGACCCAAAGGTATGCCGCAAGACTATATGAAAGGGTCATGAATAAACTTTAAAAAATGGATCAGCAAACTTTAAAAACGGATTTTCCTTGAAAGGAGAAAAACATGGGAAACTGTGGCTTTTCCCTTGCAGGCTGTCAGAGTCTTAGCCTGCAAGAGGCTGCTTGGGGCCCTCCCATGCCCCGCACACTGTGGAGCTGGGGCCTAGGGGCAGTGGGTCAGAAGTGAGGGGCACTGGGCCGGGACTGGCCATCAATGTTTACAAATGGGTCCTGGTACAAAAAAGATTGAGAACCACTGGACTAGATGAGCTTCCATCCCTATTTTTTATGATTCTGTACCTTAGGCTTTAAAGGACAGAATGGCTGACATCACTGTTCAGCTCCTCCCTGTGGTCTAGTGTAGCAAGATGGAGTGCCTGCAGTGTCTCTGTCTCTGAATACTGTGCGATTATTTCCTTACTTAGCAGTCTATTGTAAGTAATGTTCTAGTTTGAGTTCTACTGTTAAACAAGTTGGCAGAAAAAAGAAAGGAAATAAAATGGAAATATAGAACTAAGTCTTTAAGTAAAGGAAGTGCCCCAGCATGGGACTCTCTTGACATAACAGAATTGAAATCCAGATCCAAATGCTGTCCTCCCCATAAGGCAGCTATTTCCTTTGGCGATGGATACTCTGGCAGACCGTATATACAGCACAAATAATCTATATGTCACTCCATTTTGAAAAACAAGGGAATTTCTACCTTTGTTCTTAAAGAGGTCTCTGAAGACCTCTTCAGTTCCTGAAATGGGTAAGGTTTCCAAGTTAGACTGAATCACTTCAGTAAGTGCTCTGATAAGCCTGCATCCACTCTGCTGCAAGGATCATTTGGTATAAAAGAAATCTCCCTCCTCAATGAAAGAATTGCTGAGAGCTTCCCTCCTGCTCTGGCCATTCCTCTGAGGGGAGCTAAAAGAAGCAGCAACACTTACAGGGTGACTGCAGAGGCAGATCATCTTCTCTGACACTGAGTAGATCCAAGCTAGGAGGCAATTCAGATCTCTAGCACCCAGCAGCCTCTGGCATACTCACACATGTCTGATAAATAAATAATAGTTGTTCTGAAACAACTTGTGCCATTGTCAATGCTTCTGTTGAAATATTTGATGCTAAAGACTCCAGCATTGGCTGTTAACACCTGCATTAGTACCAAAGGTCCTGCCAATGACACCTGAATCCCACTCACCCTTTTATGTGGAATCTCTTATGTTCTATGAATATAGAAAAATAGCTCTGGCACAGACCTTTTTGACATGCATATTATCATGAAGTTTATGCGATGACCTGATATTAAACAGCCTTCCAGAGTTAGTATTTCTGTCCTCTATCAGGAGGTTGTTGGTTTCAGAGTTGCCCATGTCTTACTCCTCGCTGTAGTTCCAAGAAACTTTGGGAATGTTCAGAATTTCTGAAATGGTTCATCCCACCTGCTCCTGGTCCCTCGGGGCTGCCTCCCTCCCACCCCAGCCCCATAGGGGACTCCACTTATGGCAGAGACTTTTCCTCCCCTCCTTTGAACTGAAAGAAGTGAGAGATAACACTTATGTATTTTCAATATTCAAGATATTATTAACCAAGATACTTAGAAGCTTGGTTGAACCAGATGACCTTCTGAAGAGTATTTAGATAAAATGACTGGGTGAGGACAGTTTAGATCCTGGGTCTCCCATTCTCTTGGGAAGTGCTGTATTTAGGCTAAAAGGTAGGTGGGCCCTCCTCCTCCTCCTGGTTGCTAGGTATGTTTTTCCTGTGACTAAAGATTTGGGATTTACACCATGTTTAGCCATGTCTCATGGCAGGTTAGGACTGCAACAGCAGGTAAGTGAAGTTGGACACCTCTGTGGAGCCCTTCTGGACATGCTTAGAAAGCAGAGATGGGGACACATAAGGAATCTAGATGTCCAAGTAGCCTGGTGGCTCTTACCAGGGTAAATTAGAACTGTGTTTAGTGATTTAAGTGTTTAAAAACTGCTTAAGTGCCTCTTTGAGGTGAATTTGGATTTAGACCATGGTGTCTTGAAATTCTTGGAGATATCAAAAAAGGTTTAATGAAAATCAAGGACTTACCTTTGAGGGCTGTAATCCCTTTACCAAACATATTGATAAGGCCCTCCACACATTAAAGGACTCTAGGTCCACTTTACTCTCTTCAGACATATATACTTTGTCTCTCAGAAAGATGCAATACAGACTTCAGAATGTTCAGAGGCAGAGGAACCGTCCTCCAGCAGGTACGGCCAGCCAAGCTCATTCTGCAAGAAGAGCAGACCTTCAGCTGCTACAGGTTGAATGCTGATCTTTCATCAGTAGGTTTGACAGTGCAGTTATAAGACACTTCTTTCCCTGTGTTTGGGAACCATCTCTTTTGTTTTCAGGAGGCCAGGACTGTTTAGGTTGACCCAACACCCACATTTTATTCATAAAATTGTTCATGGAAAAGTTCAAGATGTCATTTTTGTACAAAATGAGGCTGGGTTAAGTTGCTAAAAAACCCCAGATTTCCCTGGGATAGGAAAACCATATTCTGCCCTATCCAGCTCTAATAAATAGTCACCAGCTTTTTGTGATTTCAAGCAGTGGTTGCCAACCAGTCAATTGACTGATCAATCGTGGAGCCTCTTCCAGTTGATCTGAGGCTGGCGGGGCTGAGCGCGCATGCTCATGCACACACATACACCCTGACCAGCCCAGCAAGTCAGCCTGTTGGGGAGGGAAGGGGCAGGGGCCAGACTGAGGCCCCCACGGTGAGGGACGGCATGCAGCACGGGCAGAAGCATGGACTAAAGTGAGTGGGGCCCCAGCTAGGCTGGGTGGGGGTAGGATCGGAGCCCAGGGGTCTAGTCCAGGGGTGCAGCAGGCTCCCACCACTGTGCACAACCTGGCAGAGGCCTGGGGGGCACATGTCCCCTCCATCCACGCACAGGGAGGAGGCAGCTGGTGCTGCATGCTGTGTTTTGCACCCCAAGCCCTGCCTCAGCTGCCCCAGGAACGGCATGACACAATACCACGTGTGTCCCACCACCGGGTAGGCAGGGGGCAAGGCTCAGCCCAGTGGCTGGATGCACGTGGCATTGGGCTGCTCCTGGGACATCTGCAGTGGGGCTTGGGGTGCAAAGCTCAGCACACAGTGGCAGCTACCTCTGCCCTGTACACAGATTGGGGGGGCATGTGCCCCCCCCCCAAATGGAGGGCAGCATGGGCAGCTGCAGCAGGGGTGGGGAAGGGTCTGCATGCAGCGGTGAGGGGGAGAGCGGGGCTGGGGTTGAGGTAGAGGCTGCACCACTGGGTGGGGCATGGGAGGAAGCCACAAGCATCTCATCTGAGAGGTACGTGGGGGGTGCACACACCAGGGGAGGGCATGGGGTGGGTGTATGCCCCCAGATCTGCATGTGGGGTGAGGGTAGGCTGCCACTGGAATGGGGCCGGGGCTGCACCACACTCTTCCCAGAGGGGGTGTTGGGCTGGGCTGCGCTTGGGGTGGGTGGCAGCAGTGCTGGAAGGGGGTCTGCATCCACCTGAAAATTTGCCATAGCTCCACTATAGCCCCACCTCCCAGTGCTGCTTCCACCCACCCAGAATGCAACGTGGCCCAGTCCCTTCCACAGGGAAGAGCCTGGTGCAGCCCACCAGCTCTGGCCTGCAGTGGTAGCCCACCCTGCCCTGTGTGCAGATCTCAGGCACACAGCCCCTATGCTCTTCCAGTGTGTGTGCAGCGGAGGGAGCTGCCACCCCTTCCCCGCACCAGGCGCCCCCCCGAATGAGCCACTTGTGGCTCTGTCCCATGCCCCAGCCTGGCTGTGCAGGGCCTGCCCCTGTCCCAGTCCCACTCCGTCCCTCATCATTGGGTGGGAAGATTGAGGCCCCAGCAGTGAGGGAGGGAGTGGGACACAGGCAGGAGCAGGGACTGGGGTGAGTGGGGCCCTGGCCAGGCCGGGTGGTGGGACAAACAGAGACCCGAGACGCATGTGCCCCTCAGTCTGTGTGTGGGGTGGAGGTGGCTGTTGCTGCACGCTGCACTTTGCTCCCTGCTGAAGCTGCCCCACACCCGCTGCCCACCCCATGGCAGGACGCATGTGGCATTGTGCAGCTCTTGCGGCAGCGGGGTTCAGAGTGTAGCATGCAGCGGCAGTCACCTCCACCCCACACACAGGTCGGTGGGGCATATGCCCCCAGGGACTCTGCTTGTCCCACCACCTGGCCTGGCCAGGACCCCAGTTACCCCAGCCCCTGCTTCTGCCTGTGTTCTGCTCCTTTCCTCACCGCTGGGGCCTTGATCTGCCCCCCACCCCTGGCCCTTTCTCCTCCTCCCTTCCCCCACAGACTTACCTGCTGGGGGGGGCACCCCCAAATAATTTCTTCTCCCTCCACCTCAATCTTCCCCCACTTCCCTCCCCACATAT